CCATTTACAGTAGCAAAGTTGCCCTTTAAAATAATTTCCCTTTGCTGGGTATGGTGGCTCACACCTACAATCCCAGCATTCTGGGAGACCGAGGCAGGCAGATCTCTTGAGGTCAGGAGTTCAAGATCAGCCTGGCCAACATGGTGAAATCCCATCGCTACTAAAAATACAAAAATTACTCGGGCATGATGGCGCGCGACTGTACTCCCAGTTGCTCTAGAGGCTGAGAAACGAGAATTGCTTGAACCCAGGAAGTGGAGGTTGCGGTGAGCCGAGATTGTGCCACTGCACTCCAGCCTGGGTGACAGATTAAGACCCTGTCTCTAAATAAATTAATTAATTAAATTAAAATAATTTCACTTAAATAAAAAGCATAATCATCAACTCGAGTAAGTCAGGCCGGGCACAGTGGCTCACGCCTTTAATCCCAGCCCTTTGGGAGGCCAAGGCAGGCAGATCATGAGGTCAGGAGATCAACACCATCCTGGCTAACACGGTGAAACCTGGTCTCTACTAAAAATACAAAAAATTAGCTGGGCGTGGTGGCACGCACCTGTAGTCCCATCTACTGAGGCAGGAGAATCGCTGGAACCCAGGAGGCAGAGGTTGCAGTGAGCTGAGATTGTGCCATTGCACTCCAACAATAGGGCGAGACTCTGTCTCAAAAAAAAAGAGTAAGCCAGTAATAGCACAATGGCACAAAGATCACAGCTGTGGTTCTCAAATAACTAAAGTTTGGGGAAAGCTGTGCTTCCGTTTTGTTAAACTGAAGTTATTAGTGGTTTTTAAATAACAACGTTATTGACATACAACTCACCCATTTAAAATGGTTTTTAGTGTATTCACAGAGTTGTGCAACCAGCACCACAATCAATTTCATTACCCCAAAAAGCAAACTGCTCCCATTAGCAGTCACTACCCATTCCCTCCTCCAGCCACCCTCCTCAGCCCGAGGCAGCCACCAATGTACTTCCTGTCTCTATGGCTTTCCCTACTGTGCACATTTCATATAAATGGAGTCACACAGCATGTGGCTTCTTGCATTTAGCATAATATTTCCAGGGTTATTCCGTGTGGTAGCGTGTATCAGCACTTCTTTTCTGGTAATTGATGAAGCATATTCACATTGTATGAGTATATAAGAGTATTCACATTGTATGAATATCTTATTTTGCCATTCATCAATTGATGAACATTTGAGCTGTTTGTACTTCGTAGCTATTATAAATAATACAACTATGAAATTCATGTACAAGTTTTTGTGTGGATATCTGTTTTCATTTCTCTTAAATATATATCTAGGAGTGAACTTGTTGGATCATATGGTCACTGGATTGTTTAACTTTTTTTTTCTTCTTGAAACGGAGGCTCGCTCTGTCACCCAGGCTGGAGTGCAATGATGCGATCTTGGCTCGCTGCAACCACTGCTTCCCAGGTTCAAGCAATTCTCCTGCCTCAGCCTCCTGAGTAGCTGGGACTACAGGTATGCACCGCCATGCTGGCTAATTTTTATATTTTCAGTATTTTGTATTTCAGGGGTTTCGCCATATTGGCAAGGTGGTCTCAAACTCCTGACCTCAGATGATCCACCCACCTCAGCCTCCCAGAGTGTTGAGATTACAGGCATGAGCCACCGCACCCAGTCTGTTTAATATTTTAAGAAACTGCCAGACTGGCCGGGCGCGGTGGCTCAAGCCTGTAATCCCAGCACTTTGGGAGGCCGAGGCGGGTGGATCACGAGGTCAAGAGATCGAGACCATCCTGGTCAACATGGTGAAACCCCGTCTCTACTAAAAATACAAAAAATTAGCTGGGCATGGTGGTGCGTGCCTGTAATCCCAGCTACTCAGGAGGCTGAGGCAGGAGAATTGCCTGAACCCAGGAGGCAGAGGTTGCGGTGAGCCGAGATCGCGCCATTGCACTCCAGCCTGGGTAACATGAGTGAAACTCCATCTCAAAAAAAAAAAAAAAAAAAAAAAGAGAAACTGCCAGACTATTTCCACAGCAGCTGCACGGCTTTGCATTCCCAGTAGCAGCCTAGAAACATTCTAATTTCTGCACATCCTCACCAATGCTTGTTATTAACTGTCCTGTTGATTGTAGCCACTCTAGTGTGTGTGAAGTGGTATCTCATTGTGGTTTTTTGTTTGTTTGTTTTGTTTTGAGAGAGTCTCACTGTGTTGCCCAGGCTGCAGTGCAGTGGTGCAATCTCGGCTCACTGCCACTTCCACCTCCCAGGTTCCAGCGATTCTCCTGCCTCAGCCTCCTGAGTAGTTGGAATTACAGGTGCCCTCCACTGCGCTTGACTAATTTTTGCATTTTTAGTAGAGAGAGAGTTTTGCCATGTTGGCCAGGCTGGTCTTGAACACCTGACCTCAAGTGATCCATTTGCCTCAGCCTCCCAAAGTGCTGGGATTACAGGCATGTGCCACCGCACGCAGTCTCATTGTGGTTTTGATCTGCATTTCCCTGATGGCTCGTGGAGTTCAGCACCTTTCCATGTGCTTATCATCCAGTTGTTGACCCTCTTTAAGAATGCCTGTTCAGACTTGCCCCCATGTTTAAATCGGGTTATTTGTCTTTTTGGTGGGGCCCTTGACTTTTTTTGGCATCATTATTAGGATATGCTTATGAACTGGAAGAGGACAAGAATTAGGATGGGAAAAGCCTGGCTTCTCTTCCCCCACCTCTTCTACCTGGTTGGAGATGATCTGTATCCAGGAGGAGGATCTGTATCATAGAAAGGTCATGCCCCCATTGTGAGTTGGGTATACAGTGGCTTCCCAGGAAAGGATCTGGACTTGCCAGCCCTAACTGTCTGAAGCTGGTTCCACGCTGTCGTCTTTCAAGGATTCCAGAACTCCTCCCAGGAAGCAGCTGAACTTCCCCCATTCCTAGCCTGTCCACCTGTCTGTCCATTCAATTTTTGTAGCTGTCTGAGACTTTGTTCAGCTCTCTCTCCACAGGCTGCCTCTTTGCCTGAAGACTGTTCTTACCTGGAAGTTTGTACCGATAGTGCGTGAGACCCAGAATATGAAGAGAGTGGCCAGGGAGGGAGAGAGGATGGAGAGATGGAAAGTGGGAGGGGACTGGCAGAGGAACGAAGACATGGGATGTGGGAGTGCCAATGGAGAGGATGCTGCCTTTTGAAAGATTTTGGCCCAGGTACCTAGTCATTTCATTCTCATGCCCTTAGAGGGGAGGACCCAGGTGGGAGTACTGCAGGCCATGCCCCTCCAAGACGGCAACCACGCAGCCTTCTGATACTGGCAAGGTGTGCTCTGGAAGCTTATGCCTCAAGGTGAGACCCAGGAGGACTGGAGGAGAGGGACTGGGTTTGGTCAAATATAGGGGCAGATGTGGACAGAGGGAATCTCTAACTTGACATTAAAACCTCCTTCCTCAAACTTCTCCGCCTGAAACTTTCTCATCATACCACCTCTGGAGCCTCACCTGCACAGTCTCTGCTAGAGATGGGGTGAGACAGGAGTCGTGGTGCAACTTGAGCCAGGGAGTTGTTCCTACATGGGATATAGAGGAACACAGCAGAGGCCACTGGCAGTCCCCAGAAAAGGCCAGCATCTATCTCCTTGGGCCTGGCTCACCACCCCTGGTGCTGACTGCTCCAGACCTAGGAATCATGCAGTCCTCAGCTGGAACCAGCCCCCTCCGACCCCCACATGCACACTCCAGACTGAATTAAGGTAGTGAGCAGTTGGCTGGCGAGGTGGCTCACGCCTGTAATCCCAGCACTTCAGGAGGCCGAGGCAGGCAGATCCCAAGGTCAGGAGTTCAAGACCAGCCTGGTCAATATGGTAAAACTCTGTCTCTACTAAAAATACAAGAATTAGCTGGGTGTGGTGGTGCATGCCTGTAGTCCCAGCTACTCAGGAGGCTGAGGTGGAAGAACTGTTTGAACCCAGGAGAGGGAGGTTGCAGTGAGACCAGCTTGCGCCACTGCACTCCAGCCTGGGTGACAAAGCTAAACTCTGTCTCAAAAAAAAAAAAGGAGTGAGCAGTTCAGAGAGTATGACAAGTAGAAGACATGAAAGGCCGGAGGGGAGAGTGGGAGGATACTTATACCTGGGAAAAAGTATCTGACCCTTCCTAAAAGCAGAGTGTGTGGCTTCAGGCTTCAGAAAAGAGATCTGCTTTCAGTTCAAATTACTACTAATAATCATAGTGTATAATGGGTAAACCTAGGGTTCTAGAAGGACTCTTTTTTATTTTTATTTATTTATTTTTTGAGACAGGGTCTCGTTCTGTCACCCAGGCTGGAATGCCATGGCATGATCTTGGCTCACTGTAACCTCTGCCTCCCAGGTTCAAATGATTCTCATACCTCAGCCTCAGGAGCAGCTAGGACTACAGGCGCCCACCACCACACCTAGCTAACTTTTGTATTTTTAGTAGAAATGAGGTTTTACCATGTTGGCCAGGCTGGTCTCGAGCTCCTGATCTCAAGTGATCCGCCTGCCTGAGCCTCCCAAAGTGCTGGGATTACAGGCGTGAGCCATTGTGCCTGGCCTGGAAACACATTTTGTATCTGATTCTCACAGCAGCAGTATTTAAAAATTCCCATCTGTCCCTTTCTATCAGAGGTAACTAAAAAAATTGAAAGTAAAACTAAAATATAGTTCCCATTTGGTCACTTATTGCATGCTAAAGGGTAAGCCAAGAAACGTGTGTGCACTATCGCCCTTTATTCTCTCAGCCATCCCATGAGGTTCATCATTTCATGAGCGAGAAAACAGGCTCAGCAAATTTAATTGTCTCTCATGGCCACAGAGCTAGCAAGAACAAGGATTCAAGCCATAGGGTGGGCAGAAGGCAAACTCCTGTACCCCAGTCTGTATCTCGACCCCCTCCACTGGCCCTCTGCACTGTGGTACCATGCATTTTGGGGAAAGGAAAAATTCTAATCACACTTTTGTTTCTGGGATGGGCCAATCAGAGTGCCCCAAGTGTCAACTCACCCCATCCTTTCACTCTGCAGGACTGTTCTGGAAGGATGACATCACTCAAAATGTGAGGACCCAGCAGACAGAGCACACGCCCTGGCTCCATGCCCCAGAGGCCTGTCCGAGGAGCAGGTAAGCAGCCTTTTTCCACCAAAGCCACCAAGGTGAGGTGTGTTGGGCCTATGGCTGCTGCACTGCACCTCCCGGTAGACAGAGAAGCTGGGAAGTGCATATCAGGATTGTAGGTAGAAGCTGTCGGGAGCTCAGGGAATGAAACAATAGGAGCGCCCATCTGATTTCCACCGGAAGGAATCCATGATCCATTAGTGATGTCTGCACAGGGCAGGGGCTGGAAAGTACAGTTCCTGTTTGTTATCCCTGCTTAATCTTTGTCTTCTAGGGGCAAGCACAAGGAGAATCTTTGACTCCTGTTCCCTAAGGTGAGGTTCCCTCAGAGATTTTGAAATCCTTCACTTGGCCCCCTTCTCTTTTTCTTTGGACCTGTTCACCATTTTCTCCTCACTATTAGCTCCTAGCTTTCCTTCCATTAGAGCCCCATGACCAGGGTGAGCAGGGAGCAACGCTTTAACTCTGAAGGGGTTTCGGAGGTCCTGAACCAAGAGGTGACCAGCCACACTAAGGCACTGCTGCAAGTAAGGGCCTGGCCTAGTTCAGGAAGACTGAGCCCAGCAAGGGCTATTTCAAGAGGGAGGCAGCGTGATGGAGGGGATAGACACTGGCAGTGTGAGTATTGATAGGGCTTCACCGAGGGCTTCCAGAAGATTCTCTTGGAGAATCTCTGGAAGCATGGGACTAACGGATGGGAAGAAACACAGCTTTCCACCCAGACAGACCCAGGCCAGTCCTGGCTCTGCTGCTTCCCAGTCATGACCGTACTGAAGCCCTACAAGCCCTCCTTCCACATCACTGGAATGGTCATAATGGCTACCTTCCCTGGCTGCCGTGAGGATTAAAGGCAATGTATGATAAAGGTGGGTCAGCAGCTCTGGATGGAAGGAAAATTCTTCATTTCCCCACTGGAGGGTGTCCTCGCTTTCTCTGTCTCTCATAGTCTCCCTTTCATAGATTGCAGCAACTCAGGATGCAGGGACTGGGGCTTCCAGTGGCTTCCTCTTATATCATTCATAGGCACAGAAGTTGAAGGGTCTGCAGAAATCTGCTTCTGAGGTTGTGCAACGTTTAAAAAAAAGCATATGGGATCTTTGTGGGCTGGTCATGGTGGTTCATATGCCTGTAATCCCAGCACTTTGGGAGGCCAAGGTGGGAGGATCACTCAGGGCCAGGAGTTTGAGACCAGCCTGGGCAACATAACAAGATGCCTGCTCTATAAAATTTAAAAGTGTGGTGGTACGTGCCTATAGTCACAGCTACTCAGAAGGCTGAGGCAAGAAGATTAGCCTGAGCTCAGGAGTTCAAGGTTATAGTGAGCTGTGATCGCACCACTGCGCTCCAGCCTGGGTGACAGAGTAAGACCCTGTCTCAAAAAACAAAAAAACAAAACCCATCCAAACAAAATATTTGGGCTCTCTGTTTTTCTGAGAATCCCAAGTGTGCCATGACCGAAATCCCAACCTCACCCACCCTTACATATACATACACTGTATACATTGTGTGTGTGTGTGTGTGTGTGTGTGTGTGTATGGGGGGGCACTTCTCTCCTTGAGTGAGAGAGGAGGGCCCAGAGCCTCTTACCTCAGCCCCCTCAACCCCCTTGCTCATTTCTGTGGCATTGACTAAGTCACCTGGACAAGGCTCTCAGGCATTTCCTTGGGACCACTGAGCCCTTTGTAGCTCAAACAGAAAACTACCCATCTTGTACCTCCAGCCACGTTTATAGATGAGAACTCAGGTCCAGCCTGGGCAAGTGTGGAGCGAGGACTAGCCCCTGTCTCCTGACTGCCAGCCTTCCCCATGAACAGTACCTACCCTTCCTCTCAGCGACCCCCATAGAGGTTGGATTGTTTCACACACCTTAGGCTAAGGAGGTCCTAAAGAGGGGACATTTAAACGTAGACCCAAATGACAAAGAGGCAGCCAGGGGGAGATCTGGAGGAAGAGTCCCCAAGGCAAAGAGGTTTTCAAATACATCTGCTGTTAGAGGAGATTCAGGGGCATGCTGGGGGAACAGACACGTAGGGCTGCTGCCCCACTGGGGTCGCAGGGTGTCCCTTATGCTGTGCTGAGGCACAGGATCTGAGAAGTAAAGAGACAGTACACAGAAGGACTGGAACAGACAGTTGGGCTCGAGGGGCCATGCCACCAATGAGTGGACACAGGCGAGGCCCCGAACGTCCAGAAGCGTCTGTATTTATTGGGTACAGGGCAGGGGGAAGGGTCGTGAGTGAGGTCATCTACAGGCTTAGTGATAGGGCGTACATAGTCATGTGAGTAGCAAGCAAGGGGGCCACCCCATTAGGCCACCTAGTCAGAGAGGTGGGCTGTGCACAGTAGAGGGCCATGCCGGGCACAGTAGTAGAGGGTTGTGTACAAAATGGGGTCCACCCCCATTAGGTCACCTAGGCTAGGAGGTGGACTGTGTGCAACAGGTGTCATGCACAACACTTCTTACTGGGGGCTGAAGACTTCAAAGGATTCTTTTAGAAAGATACTGTAAACCAATGCAGTGGGAGCTGACAGACTTGTGCTCTTTTCTAAGGTATTTATGGGAGGATGATTTGAGCTAGTACAGAAGCGAGAAATGCTGACAGGGTGTACAGCCACCGTGACCTGGTCATACCAGAGGGGTTCTTCTCCCTCGGTTATTTGCGGAATCTCAGGCCTGAGGCCTACTTTTCACAGGAACTGGATGCGAGGTACTACAACTCCTTTTTCAGGAAGAGAGGCTCTTTCTCCAAGCCTGCCATACAGCGTATGCCCTTTCAGGCAGGGACGCCACCGCCTGAGTCTTTGGTTCTTGTCCTGGTCTGGCTGTTTTCCCACGTACTGCTTTTGCTTTCTGACTGCTCTAGGCATTCCTCCTACTACAAACTACTATACGGTTATATAGAAGGACTATATAAATCAGCATTGAATGTGTCGGTACAGCTCCGACTATAATACCTATATGATTATATAGAAAGGTTATATGGAACTAAGTATGCTAGATATAAGTTCTAAGTATGATTATATAAGCTAGATATATGTAAGCAGTAAGTCATACTTCAGGCACTAATTCTATACACTAATATATGATTATATAAAAGGGATTATAAAAAGGAAATCACTGAGTAATAACACTATAAACTAAGATATTCTTCAGGCACTAATTGTGCCTGGGGTTTGCACAGCTCTCCTTCCTCGGTGCCCATGTGGGGGTTACCCACACAGACACAGGCCTGTGATAGCAGATGAGCTTGGAGAACAGGTCCAGGGCTACTTGGGGCTTGTAGTCCATAGACAGGGGGTCGGGTGTGAGTCAGTGTAGTGGGAAGGCATTGGAGGATTTTTAAGAAAGAGAGTAGGGCAATGTGATAAGTGTTTTATAAAGACACATGGATGCTGTTAGAAAATGGATTTTGAAGTGGGCAAGAGTGGAAACAGGCAGGCCTGTCTGGGGCTACCGGGTTGCCCAGGTGGGATCCTGGGCACCTGGGACTAAGATCGTGGCGGTGGATCTGGGAAACTTCTAGATGGGCTCCATCAGGGCAACCTGCACCTCAGAGGTGCTCCAGCCCCTCACCCCTTCAAGGAAACTGGTGGTCCCGCCCCCCATCACCATGGCAGCTGGGCTCCTTAGCTTGGATTGGCTGCTGGGCCACATCATTAGTCCTGTGACTGATCCCATGATGCGGTCTGGTTGCCATGGTTCTCTCAAGTGTGCAAACAAGGAGCTGCTATGCCTCAGGCTCAGGGAACCTGAGCAGCCCCTAACGTGTGTCAAGGAAAATCCTGGGAAGGAGATGGGATTAGAGATGGGGGACAAGCAAAGGGCCTTGAGACTGCTATTGACACTGGTTCTGCACTTGGCGGGGGAGGGGAGGGGAGGGAGTGGCAACCACTGTATTCATTGCATTGACTGAAAATCCCTTGTTTCTTCCCATTTTAAGATGTCTTTGAGCCATTTCCTACTCTGAGTCACAACCTCATAGCTGATTAAGGCCACATGGAACGCTTCCCATTCCTTACACTTTCCCTGATGCTCTCAGGAAGAACAATTTCAGGCTGAACCAAATGTGGATTATTAAAGTCAATTTTCAAGAAAACTCAGTAGATTTGTCTGGAGGTAGGATGACGGGGCAGGGGACCAAGCCAGAGCCTCCCAGGTGAGAGGTAGGAGAGGTGGGAGCCAAAGGCAGGGAAGCCTGGGCAGTGGATGCAGAGAGCCACTCCCTAGTTGTCCGAAGGCTTCATTTCACATGCCTTTTTCCTTCCATTGGCAATTTCTAAAGCAAGTGAAAGGGAAGGTGGCAAGGCAGCATCCCCACACAGCCTTTAGATGCGCCTTACTGGTCTTCCTTCCACTGATAGAAAGAAATCCCTCCCTCTAGACCCCAGGTCAAGCAGGCTGGGGACCCTGCGCTGCCTTCAGAGGTCCACAGTACCCTTTTAGCATTAGGGTCCCCTACAGGGCAGTCATACCAGCCCCACCCCAAAAATCCACAAAGACTTCCACAGCCAAAGGCTATGCATATTTAATTTTTTGGTACCTATGATCAATTTTCACCTGGGAAAGGGGAGTCTAGCCACCAGGGTTCAACCCAACCAAACTCCAACAGGTCCCATGCCTCGAGTTTTGTTTCTCAAAGCATCTGCACACTCAGCTCATTGTTTTGTTTTGTTTTGTTAATTTTCAGTGCTCACTGGGTAGACAGCTCATTGGTTCCTCATAAGTGGGAGCACAGGGGAAAGTATCAAGCCCCTCCCCACCATGAAATACAGAGAAATTACGAGAGTCCTTTAGTATACAGGCTCAATGATGCCGCCAGTTTATGTCCTCTCCCCTGCCACTTTGTAAGGACATCAATAAATATAATGCTCAACTAGTGATATTTATTTATACCTATTTTTATTAGCTAGGTTGACTCTTACCACCACCCACCCTACTTTTCCCCATCAAACATTTTACTTTCTTTTATTCAACCCACATTTGTAAAGATTTGTGCTTCACTGTGCCTGGCCTCTGCAATACACAGTTCCTGCCTCAACTGAAGACTAGGGCAATTGAAGGCAATTGAAGACTAGGCAGGGAAGTAAGACATACATATGACGTATTTGTGCAATAGATATTGAACACCTGTGCAGCAGACCAGACAGGTGCCCTGCCTCATATCCAATGACCCATCTCTGAGGTTACCTGCAGCAACAAGTAGACGTCTGCATGCTGACAGCTTCCCACCTCAAGCCCTGGAAACACTCTGATTCTCACCCTGTGTGTTTTCTGGAATGTCAGGAGAACGTGCATACCTGTGCACCAGACAGCCCTGAGTGCCTGGGACTTACCACCATCAGGGGCAATCCTCAACACGTTAAAGGCTGAGTTAGCCAGGCACGGTGATCCACACCTGTAATCCCAGCTCTTTGGGAGGCCAAAGCAGGTGGATCACCTAAGGTCAGGAGTTCAAGACCAGCCTGACCAACATGGTAAAACCCCATCTCTACTACAGATACAAAAATTAG